TCATGGATAAAGCAATGGTAGTAATTGATTAGTCCAAAGAAAGAGCAAAGATCAAGTACCTTGGTTGGCTCTTCCCATTCTAAGATAGCTTTGATTTTTGGTCTCATACATCATTAACCTTCCTCCCTTAATCTTGTGCCCTAGGAAGAGTACTTTCTCTTTTGTAAAGGAGCACTTCTCTCTTTTGATGTACAACTCATTCCCCCTTAGCATCTTGAATATTGTATGTAGGTAATCTAGATGTCTGCTCAAACATAGAGCTACAAACCATAATATCATCAAGATATACCACCACGAATTGATCCAAGTATGAATAAAATATCTTATTCATTAAGGTACGTGAAGGTAGCTAGTGCATTAGTCAAGCCAAATGACATAACAAGAAATTCATAAGAACTATACCTTGTTATGCATATTGTCTTCGACACATCTTCAATGACAATTCAAACTTGATAATATCCTAATCTCAAATCAAGCTTGGTGTAGAATCAAGCTTTTCTCAATTGATTGAACAAATCAACTATCAATGGAATTAGATACTTGTTTTCACTATAACCTTGTTCAATGTCCGATAGTCTATGCATATTCTCAATGATCCATTGTGCTTCTTTTGGAACAACACTCGGCAAGCTATATAAGGTGACTTGGAGGGTTATATTTGTTCGGCCTCTAACATGGCCTTTAACTCGTTTTCTTAATTCCTCTAACTCATGAGGGGTCATACAATAAGGTGTCATGGCTAACGGTTTAGCACCCGACACCAACTTTATTTAGTGATCAATCTCTCTTTTAGGTGGCATCATTTCATCAAATTTGACCAATATATTAGCAATCTTTTTATGTATCTCTATACCCTCATTATCCATCAACCAATCTTCTCTCAATGTTACCCGGTAAGTGATCTTCTCTTTCTTAAAGCCCTTCTTTACTTGTATAGCCAAGAGATGCTTCAAATCTAATCTAGCATGCACCTTGGTCGGCACTATGTATGGTATCTCTTCTTTCATGATCACCATTTGCTTTAAGTGAGGTTAGGCATGACTTTCGCTTGTTTGAAGAACTCTATACCTAAGACAACCTTGAAGTCATCCATCGTGACAACTACAAAATCTAGCTTTCTCTTTCATTCGTCTATGCCAAGGTTTACCCTATGTGGTACTTCACAAGTAGGCTTAGGGAAAGCATTCACCGTCTTCACGCTGCTCGATGACTTGGTCACCACCAAACTAGGTCTTTCGACCTCACCTCGGCTATGAAATTACGTATGGCACTCGTGTCTAGCATGGCGAGTTCGGCCTTGCCATTCACATCCACATCCATGTACATAAGCCCATCCTTCGATAGCACCTTATGCGAGGGCTTGACATTCAAGGCATTGAAAAGCTACAATGATCCCATATGCTTCTCATGCTTGAGAGCACACTCCTTCTCCTTCATTAAGGTATTGAGGGCTTGTCATTTCGGGTACTTTCTCCATTGATATGGGTACTGTTGTAAAAGTAGCAACCCTTGGGCTTAAATTCTCTCTTGTCATGCTCCTAGACAAAGCCTTTGGACTTATGAGCTTTGTCTTACTCATCTTTGTCCCTCTCTTTTCACGAGACTCCCCCACCTTTGCCTTTAAAACCTTTTTTAGACTTAAAGGATTCTATCTTTTTTATACTCGATTAGGGATTCAGCCACGGCTTCGATGAAAGTCTTAGGTCGTCGACCTCACACCTCTTGTTGTGCCTATGGTTGAAGTCCCTTAATAAAATCATACGTATGATCATAGTTGGGTTTGCCATGCAGCTAAAGTTTAAAAAAAAAACATATTCTTAGACATACTCATAAATAGTTCTCATATACTTCAATGTTCGTAGCTAATCCTATGCTTTCCAATCTGCTTTCTTGAGGTAGAATTGAGCATACACGAGCTTCTTTGAATTTATTCTAACTAAACAACTCTATATTCCCCTCTTTAAGCTCTTGATGCTTCATACTCCATCATAAAGCGAGCATCCTTTGAAAGGTAGAGAGTAACGGTCTTGATGTGACTCCTATCCTCGCTCAAGCCCATTAGCTCAAAATATTGCTCCACTTGCTAAAAGAAGTTATCTACTTCCTTGGCATCCCGCTTGCTAGCATAATGCCTTGGTCTTGGTACTTCAACTTTTGATGTGTCTCTCAAGACCACACCATTAGAGATGGCTTCTCGATAATTTTCCCAATCTCTTTTAAATTGTTCAAGAGTCTACTCACACTTGGTCATAGACTCTTGATGTTGCTTGAACATTTCCTTCGTCCATTTCATGAAGGCATCCTTTTTTACAGCATTCTCTTTGGCATACCACTCAATTGTTTTCACTCAAGCTTGAAGATCGAAGAGCATCTCACGTAGGCCTATCATTCTTAGTGTCTCCCCCTTATCATCTCTCTCTATCTCATCGAGTTTCTTCTTAAAATCGATAAGGTGTTCCTCCATCCTTAAGAGCCACTCCTCAAAGGCAACCCACACATCACAAGACTTTCCCCTCCCTTTCTTAGGTTGGGGAGGTAAAGTCTCCTTCTTAACATCTCCGAGCAACATCCTCAATACCGCAGCTAGATATGCTTACTCTTTTGAACAGCTTAACTAGCCAAAAACTTACTCGCACTTGATAGAACTTTGCTCGATATCACTTGTCATGGACTTAGCCTTTCCTAAGCTATCATGGGGAACTTGAGTCACTTTTTCTTTAAGTCAAACCAAGTCAACTTTTCCCTACACAAAGTTATCAAGTAAGAAAGATACACACAAGAGATATAAGAACTCTTTTTATTGCTTTCTCTAAAGCTTATAACTCTAAGATTACACTTTCTTAGATTTCCGGATGTCTTTGCCAAATGAAGACCACCTATTTATAGTCATCCACCTCCTCAATGGATGGCTGGGATTTATTTGATCTAATGGTTATAATTGATTCTCCGGAATTATCCTATCTATATGTTTACAAGAAACTAAATATATAGATATGTACAAGCTAGAATAATGAGGGACTCTTTATAATTATCTAGGACATGTCTTGATTTTTCTTAGGCATAATAGAGGTTTCTCCATTGCTCTATAATTTTCTAGAGGCTTGCGGACTTATCTAGCATTCCCAATAGCCTCCAAAAAACAAATCCCTCCTTTGAGCGAGGCGTAACAATAGGCTCTAAGAAGAAAGGATTTTTTCTGGAGGAGAAGGCTTTTTTGCATCAATCTCAAATAAGCTCTTCGAAATAGAATAGGCGACGAAAGAATACACCCTCCCTTTTCGGTCAAGTCACCTCCCTTCCTCCACTTGTCGGATATTAAATTTTATTTTCAAAATTTATAGTTTAATTTTATAGAAAAAAATAATTGATAAGTTAGGTTAAAGGTTATTGAAGTTAAGGGTATTTATATCATTTCCTTAGTTTTATATCCAAAATATATGTACAAAAATCCTAAAAATAGTAACAAAAAACCCGTTTTCAAATATGTCAAAAGTATAGAGAAGTCTAGAGACTAATTGTCAAATCACTTAAGTTAATTCGAGAAGGTTTCTCTAATTTAGCTAATAATAAATTCATCTACTTTTATATATTAGTCTGTGAATTTTTTATTTCTTCAAATTAGAGATGGATATTTGTTTGGTTTGTTATAAAGGGGAGGAAATTGAATCAATCTTTTTTTTTTTTTTTTTTTGACAAGATGCTTTTTATTCTTATTTTCTTTTAATTTAAAGATATTATTATTCCTTTTTTTTTTAATTTTAATTTTAATTTTATTTAAGTTGGTCAAATATGGCATGCATATGAATGTCAAAATTTAGAAGCATCCAATTAATAAAATTTTAAAAATATAGATACTCAAATCAAAAAATAAAAATAAAAATATGAACACTCAAGTAAAAAAAATAAAATTACGTACAATCAAATAAATAAAATATGTAAAGTTCATGCATATTTTGCGTGTAATTTAACATCCTGACGTGTTAATTTAATTATATATATTTGATAAAATTTAATACAAAAATTTATTAAACAAATAAAAAATTCACACACTTAAATAGTAAAATAAAAAACTCAAATATAAAAAGTAGCACACTAAATTTATAATAATCTCCTTATGTTTTCGTGAGATTTGTCACTCTCATCTATCCTCACATAGATGGTACCTTTTGAACTAAATTGTCTGTACATCCATCAAAACAAAACACGACTTTCAATAACTTGAAAAATTGAAAAATTAAGCTGAAAACAATGAAAAATCTAGAAAACATAAATTAAATTTCGGAAAATTAATTTTCAAGTTCTAAGATTTTGATAAATCTTCTTTTTCCTTTTTATGTTATGAAAATTGATTCTTCATTTTTTTTTTATCGAGTGTTTTTTTTTTTAATAATGATAAAAAAATGAAAAAAATACAATTTAATGGCAAAAATTACTCCTATATTATTGGCGTTATAGCAATTTAAGGTATTTATTATAAATTTGGGTTATTTGAACTTCAAACTATTATTTTCTTAGATAAATATTATCATTTGTCCATTATATTTTTAAATTATGATCAAAACGTTGACCGTTAACTTAAATGTTTAAACGACGTGACGGATAACGAAAGAAAGATAATATTTATCTAAAAAATAATAATTTGGGGTTCAAATAATCTAAATTGATAGTAAAAATATTAAATTACCATAATCACAATAATTTGAGACTATTTTTTGCTTTTAAACCAAAATAATACAAATTGTAAAAAAACATGAGAAAATATGAATATACATAGATATAAGAAAAAAAAATTCAACATCAATTATTAATGATCGATAATAAGTGGAATTAAATTTTAGGGAGACGTTCATCTGTCCACACATGCTCATTACGAAGCCAAGAGTGTGTGCAGCCATGGCCACTCTTCTAGTATGAGTTTAATTGAAGGAAACAAAATGATGCAAGGGATTTAATATCAGCTGTCATGGTGCCTAATAAATTTAAAGGTCTTGCTCCCATATTTATAGCCCAAACCATAATCGAAGCCTATCCAATTCCAGTACCACGTTGTCATAGCCCATATCAAGAACAAGTTGCATACCATATCGTGCTGCTAATGCTTCTGCAATTTCTGGACTTGAAGTCGTGGCTTAAAATTTAGCTGCAGAAAGTCAGAAACCATAACTTCTCCCTTCTTTTTTCTGACAACTTAAACCGTCTGAAGAAACTGCAGCATCCGAATTGATTTTCAGCAGACCCGAACAACCTGGATTAAGCCATCGTGACTGTACAGTAGAAGCATTGCCCATATTGGAAGATGGGGACAAGTTTTCTGCTTTATACTCATTCAGAGCCTCGACACAAATTGAATTGAAGTAGGAGGATCGCACCCTTGTCGTTAAAGAGGAGATCATTTCTTGAGTTCCACAAGTCCCAACCAATAGTGCAAAACTGCTCTATCAACTCCTTATCAAGTCTCTTATGCATAGACTTAATCCAAGAGAAGAAAGAATCATAAGACATACAGGTAGTGATGAGTGATAAAGGGGAAAGAAACCATCCTCGTTGAGCCCAATTGCAGTCTTTTAAAGCAGTAGGGTACCTAATCTCAACTTCGTGTCTCTGCATCTTTCACTGCTTGTGTCTTCGAGTTGGACCCTTCTAGCATGGTTAGCGATAGTTGAGATGGCATCTCTGCAAGCTCTCCAAATGAAGTTTCTGACGTTTGGAGATAGAACAAGTTGCCATAGAAATTTCCACCATCCGTTGTCTTCCTGAGAATAGCTTGAACTTAAAAGTGAAAATTCTTAAAATGACATATAGTAGAATTCTTTCAATACATTGAGATAGAACTAGGTTTAACAGTAAAAATTGCCCTTCTTTTATTACAATTTAACAATTTTAAGTTTTTATTATCAATTTACGTAATTTAATCCCTAAAATATCAATTTTAAAATAAATCTTATCCAAATCGTATTTTCTCATTATTTATAATGGTTAACCCAATTGACAGTTAATATTTTTTTCTACTATTAATTTCTTTTTTTCGTCATTAATTTAAAAATAAAAAACTTTAAAAATGATTTTTTTTTCATTTTTCAAGAGATTTTTTTCACCTATTTACCTATAAATAAATAAAAAGTTCATTAAATTTATCACTGAACTTTTTTTTTAATTATTTTTCTTCCTAACAAAGAACTTTCACCTTTTCAACATATCTTTTTAAAAAAATAAAAATAAATAAAAAAAATAGAAAATTTTTAAAATTTTTTAAATAAAATCACAAGAATAAATTTATTGGCATAACAAAAGAAAATTTTTATTTAAAATTAATTATTTGATAATTTTAATTTATCAAATTCAACCAATAGATATTTTTATTTTATTAATTATAAAAATTGATTGTTTTAATAGATAATAATACTATATAAAAGTTTTTTTTCTTAATTAAAAAATTATATACAAATAACAATTTGATTGATTACAAAAAATCAAAGGAATTAATATGAAGAAATTTTAAATAGAAAAAATATCTCTTGAAAAAAGAGGAAAAACATTTTTAACATTTTTAAAAAAATTAATTGTGAAAAAATAAATTTACAACAGAAAAATTAAATTAATGGTCAATTGCAGTGACGATTACAAATAATGAAAAAAAAATACAATTTGGATAAAATTTATTTAAGAATCAATATTTTGATGTTTTAATTATGCAAATTGATAATAAAAACCAGAAATTGTAAAATTACAATAGAAGAAAGGTAATTTTTATCATTAAACGAATAGAATTAACCCTTGAACTTTACTAGTATTTGAAGTACCAGTCTTCCTTTCTTTTAGGCTAACTGATTTTTCTTTGGAATACCTTCTTGCCCGCACCACGAGTCACCCTAAAATCCAAATGATTAGGGAAGCCACTCGTTCTCCTCTCTCCCGTTTAACTCGGTTCAATTCTCTTCTTCTAATAGTTGTTTTTGGTTTCCCCTTGCATACGTTGTGGGTTTCTGCTTCCTTCATTAGAGGGTTCTAAGGTTTCTGCTTTTGTTTTTAAGCCCAGAAGCCCAAGTTGGACGTATAGAACTCCGATACAGGAGCACAAGGATACTACTTGATCCATTCTCTCTCATCGAGGTAAATATATGGCTTGCAGTTACTCTACGCGATATCAAGCAATCTAAGATTGAATACCTTCATGTGTTGCTCGTTGCTTGATGGAGTTCGCAGTGAACACGAGGGCTGGTGCAAGTCTCTGTAGGAAGATGCATTTCTACTCCAAACGAAGTATAGATACATTAACTACAACCAAATGTAGAAAGCACAAAGCACAATGCAATCCTAAATTGCAAATTACACAACGCCTTTAGAAACTGTAGACAAAAACCTGCCGCAAAGTCCAGAATAGGATGACCAAGCAGAAGTCCAAAATGTATTATGGATCATATTATAAAAACAGAATGATACAGGAACATTGAAATAAATCAGTCTGGAGTTTATACACATTTAAACACCTTTAAGTCATACACAAGTAAATCTGAAACACTCCAGTCCAGCTACATACAAAGCAAAGCAACACAAGCATTGAATCATTGATTAACATGATCAAATGATGCCTCCCCATTACACCTACTTTACAATAATATCTCTATCTCAAACTCATCACAGGCCATGGATTCACCCCAGCTGCTGGCAATAAGGGTCGTACAATGGGAACCCTTCTCACAACTGAAAATGCTTCGTTTAGACGTGCAGCACGAGTCGTGAACTGTGACACCTTCTGCAGACAGATAAGAAACAAAAATCAAAGTTGGATATGCACAAGAATTTATTGACCTCAATGAAATATTGTTTCAAGCAGAAGCATCAATTAATTTGCAAGAAATATAATACAACCACCACATGAAATAAATTAAAACAAACTTGAGGAAAACACTGCAATTCTTGAGTGCAAATGAACCTGAAAACCCATTTATAGGCCTGAAGACCTGTGCTCTTCCGTTAAACAACGAGTAACATAAGGGGAAAATAGAGTGACTATGTACTCAAAAACCAAAGAATTTCACAACTTTAAGGTGCATAACTCAAATACTGTGGGCATAGACAGGAATTAATCCTCGAAATAAAAGTTTGTGATGAATATACATTTAAAGAGGCAAGAGATGGAATTTAACTGCTGTATCTCTTCTAAAGTCTATAATGTTGTTACACAAAAAAATGGGAGGAAAACTGAGCAATTCTCCTATCAATTTGTTCTGCTACAAGACAAACCCATACAGCTAATCCTTACCCATCATCAATTGACGGTGCAAAAAAAAAGGAAAAAGCAACAGATGGAGAAAAAAAAAAACTCATAGACAATCAAAATATGCAAAATGATGGGACTTGGGAGGGGAAAATACCAAGGGAAAGATTATACCATGCTGCTAATCAATTTGAAGTGAATGAGATAGTGAAAAACTAAGAGCATCAATGAGCCAAATAATTAAGTACTGAAAACTAAGAATCACACAACTGTTCTAGATTTTTAGACTTGCACGTGGCATGAGACCAAGAGTTAAAAGTTATGGAATCTTCTATTATAAAATGTTCACAAAGCAAATAAACAACTTTTGGGAATCATTTGCCATCCATCTTGCACTATTCCCCCATGATTTGTTCCTAACTTTACTTCTACCACAATCCTATGCATTTCCAGATTCCTTACGGACTTAGTCAAAAAATCACTAATATGACTTCCAAAAGCATTTAGAAATGATTACATTATCATTAAAAAAATCATTAATTTGATTTCCAAAAGCATTTACTGCACAACCCCCCATTTCCTTGATGAACCCATTTCTTAATCAACTTTTTTGCTCATTTATAACAACTCTCACTCCCTTAATTCTCTCACCATGACACAGTATTTCCAAACCATCCACTAAATAACAAATAAAAACTTTACCGCTAACCAACATTACCTACTCATTGCAAACTACTCACCCAAGCATTTTGTACTGTGAAGCATGCAAGGAACATAGAGGACTGTTTACCCCCCAAACAAAATTGCCTACATTTTCTTGTCTGTTTGATGCCAGATTCTAATGAGTTCATTTTTACCTTACAGAGAACTAGAAGTGGGGAAAAAAAATCCCATCATGATAAAGATATGCCAATAAGACTGAAAAAAAGAGGAGGAGATAACACCACTTTTATCAAATACCAAGTTAAATCACTGCTGCACAACAGATGCTGCCAAATCTCGATATGAAATTTAGAACCAATAAATCAGATAACTTGTGCTCATTCATTTAAACACGCCATTGAAAACAATTAGAACTCGTCTTTTCCAAATTAACCATATTATCAGCAATTGAAATAGGCAAATAAAAAAACCACAGTAAATGACCTTATCATCGACGGTAACCTTAAGCTGCAAGCTCTTTGTCTTGCGCTTCATCTTGTACAATCTCCGTCCCAAGATAACAAATCCCATAACTGCTGCAGCCACAGAGACAGACCAAACAGGACTAAACCTGAAAACACAATACCTCATCACCTCAAAAGGAACCTTCCACCAAACGATCTTCCTCTTCTCCACTTCATCACCAGGCTTCGTTTCTCCTGCAGCAACAACACTCAAATTCACCTCTTTCGACACATTTTCACCTTCGGATTCACCCGAAATCTCGGACCCACCTTGATCCCTTCCAACATCACCAAAAACCAAATCATCACCACCAGAATCAGACCAGAACTTAAGGAATTCGTTATCCTTACTTTGAGTCTCCCCAAATCCTTCGAAACCCACTTGAGCCTTCACATTCTCTTCAAAACCCATTTCACTTTTCCCTTCAAAGTTGCTAGCTTCACCCTCAAGTGACTCAAACTTCCCTTCTTTAGCCTCAATTTCTCCAATTCCCTCAAAACCCACACCAGTCCTTTCACTTTCCACAAAACCCAATTCATTTTTCAAATCAAAGTCACCTAATTTGCGATCATCAGATCGATCACTACCCGAATCAGGCCAGAACTCACCAGAATTCCTCCTCTGGAACCGAGTTTCTGAGCCAGGATCGACCCAACTCGGATTTTCAGACTCAGTAGAACCTTCTTCAGTAGCATCATGAGCAGTTTTAACATATCTATTATCATTTTCAAGAGAGAAGTAATCTAACCTGAGCATACCTTCCGTACCAGCCTCAATTCCTTCAAAACTCCTCGAAGAATTAGCCACTGAGTTGGGAGAGTTAACGAGGTCCGAGTCAGAGTTGGCTAGGAGTTCCCAGTCTTGAAAGTCAGTAGCAGCATCTCCTTCCATGGTGGTGATTGACTGACGTTTGACGATACCTTGTTTAGGATAGGTGAAGTGAAGTAACCCTAACCGTATTAGAGTGACACGAGGATAGGAAAGGTGCTAAAGATGAAGCCTTGGCTTTAAAAGGCAACCCACACCACAGCACACCACGTAATGTGCTGATGGTAGTTGGGATTGGTCCAACCCTATAGTCCAATCTAATAATGTGCCTTCTTCTCAGGACTTTCCTGTGTGCACCCATCTTTTACCATGGAATGATATTTTTGGTCATCCATCCATAGAATAACTTCTTACTTTATATCATTACTGTGAAGAAAATGGAGATACCTCCATATTTAATAATTTTGCAAGCAATCGAAGAGTCAATCAAAAATTCCATTTTATGCATTTAGAGAGTAAAATATTAAATATAATAAAGGATTGTTATGGTAGGTAAGAAAATTCGTTTTTCTTGATTTTTTGAATATATTAGATCCATGAAAAAAAATATATTTTTAAAATACTTGGTAGATGAATTAGTATTGATTGATATTTAAATTGACTCGAAAGCATGCCATATTAACAAATATAAAATATAATTAGTAAATACAAAAAAAATTATTATTATATCCATTTGATTGAATTTTTTTGTATAATTTAGTTGTTTTTAATATGATAGTCGAACAGCATACACCCAATGTATGCATTATGCATATCTTTTTATTCGATAATAAAAGTATTTTTGAATCAATTTGTAAATAAATCGAAATTAAATTTTTATTCAAATCATTTTAAATATGCATCTCCTACATCGTTAGTGCATTCAAAATAATATAACTTTTTTTGAAAAATAATCTTAAGATTTGAATTTAGAAGATTAATGAATGAAGTAAAATTTTTTCACCATCAAGTCAAATTTAATTAAAATCATGATCTGCTTTAGGCATATGGTAAGATGATGAAGTAGACACTTCAAAATCATGTTAGTAATTTTATTTTGTGAGATATAGAAATGGTTTAATGAACTGGAAAATGCAGTTATCTGACACAGATTTTGAGAGCGAAATTATAACTTCCTCTTCAAGTGAAATTCGGTTATTTATTAGGCTATCTCTAAACCACAAGTTCCACAGCTGAAATTTGCTACCTGTTAAAGAAAAAAATGTTGCCATAATTATGACCGTTTAATTTTGTGGGCTTGTGGCCGGCTAAACCTATATTACTACTTTTTTAATAGGTCGACAAACATTGTGGTCTCTATTTTTCTATGTTAAAATATATATATATATACCCTATATTTTAGAGAATGAGAATTGTAATCCTAGTTGGCATGTTGATTTCAAATTAATGAAAATCTAGTTAAGCAAAACTTTCTCTTAAACACTTCTGTTTTTATAAAAGGGTAGGAGTGGAGTTTGCAACCACCATTCCATTATTGTAATAATAATAAGTAAAATTGAATAACAAATGGAAATTTTCAACTTTGGGAATTTTAGATGTTAATAATGAATAATGATCCATTTATTGTTCTAAATCAAAGTAATAAAATTGGATACTCTAGAAGAAGACATGATTATGTAAATATGTGACAAGTTCTATTTTTTTAGCTGCATATTTATTCATAAGACCCATTATATTGATTTGTTTGCTAGTGTTTTTGTTGGTCGAATATTTTCTTCGGACACGAAAAAAAAAAAAAGCGATTTGTTAACATGTGCTTTCTGGCATGTAGTTTCAAATTTAAATAAAGAAGTAGGGGTCAGTAACAAAATAATATAATAACTGTAATAATAAATAAACAAGCTTTTGAGGCTATAGGATATAGTTAGGATATGTATTTTTTTTTGTGGAGAGAATTTTGGAAGAGCAGAAGCCAACAACCGGCCAGGTTGGATTTAACGAAACCCATGCCTGTTGCTGATAGAATGAGACAGTCCAATTACAGCATGAGAAGTGTTTCTCTTTGTTTAAAACACACCACTATGCAAGGAATGAATGCCAAAATTTCTACACGTAGTCCTATAATGGGCTGTTCAATCTTTTCTTGACGTGTAGGTTCAACTCAAAGAATCAGTTTTTCGGTGAAGATGCAATTAATTATAATTAATTCATGATTTCTAATTAGTCGGTATGATGCAAGACCGCATCACCGACCATAGATCAACTTTTTCAAATTTGGTTTGACTTTTGAGTGAACCAATCATGATTCAAGAAAGTGAATTAAATCTGAAGTAATAGGCAATTAGACTTTTCTTTTTCTCTTGATAGATCAGAGCCCTAAAAACAATGCTGGTCGTGAAACAAAATGCCCATCAACAGGCACAAAATCCAAAACCAAATTTAATCAGAAGGGGAATCACACAAAGGAACAGTTCGCATCAACAACTAAGTCAAGGTTTTATTAAACATAAAATCGATCCCCAAGCACTAGTACACATATATAAATGTTAAATCAATGTGATTCAATATTTTTCGTATAAGAAGCGGTTGCCAAATTGCAAAATTTGCCAACTAATATCAAAAGAACTTGCAAAACATGCTAAACATGGTAAAGAACAAACTATGTAGCGTTAGGATGGAAGAATGATTCAGTCATTCAAAGTTTTTCCCTGATCATTTTCACAGGCTTAATCGTTTCTTAACTTCGTCAACAAACGTGCTTAAAGGCACATCTTCCTCCACTTTCGTCTCAATGTTCTTTATTTTTACCATCCCTGTCTCCAGCTCCCTGTCCCGAACGAGTACCATCCATGGGATGTTTGAGTCTTTGGCGCGACTCATGAGCTTATCAAATCTTGTACTCACAACAAATTCAGATTTCAGCTTGGCACACCATAACTTGCTGGCCAGCTCTGCAGCTAAAGGTACTTTTCTGCTTCCCATAATGGCTAGTAGAACCTGGGTTTCGGTAGGTCGGGTTGTCTGCCAAAATCAGAAAAACAAAGATTATATTAGAGCCGCCAAATTTTATTTTATTTTAACTTTTTTTTTCTTGGAGCAAGAATGATGGTAATTTCTTCAACATGGTGAGCAAATAAAAAGTTTACCTCCACAAAACATGGATCATATTAAGCATCTTGAAACTAGTAGGAGCGATTTATTTTAGAGCATAAACAGGACTTATAACAACTCCTCATATAATGGAAGGGTGTACCACATGTAGAACAAGGGAAAAAAAAAAAAAAAAAAAAGAGAGCAAGTGCAGTGTTTTCCATTATGACTTGAGATTTCTCTTATGTCTCAGACACATTAGCTTGAAAAATCATTAAGATAATAATTTGTGGTTTCTTTGGTTAGCAAAAGAATAATGCAAGTAAATCAGACTTCTTTGCATTAAAGGTTCTCTTTGAAATTACAGTCTGCATATGTACCCTGGGCCATGTAGAAGCTATCTTAGGTTCAAAATCACATTTCTGGAGGTATCAGACAAACAATTGGTGTAGTTATAAAAATAAACTACTATGGTCGATGATTGTATGGTTGATAGTCCTTTGTATTTATAGATAGATAATGAAAAAGAAAGAACATTGAGTATATCTTAAACTGTCAGATTTGGGGCCAATAGGCAATGAAAAAGAGAAAAGCATTGATTGTGATGTAAGTGTTAGCTTGGCTACAAATGTGGTAATGAAATGAGGACAGAGGAAAAGTTATGAAGTTTGGTGTAATAAAATCGAGTTTTATCCCTACTCCTCATTCTACTGTAAACAATCTCAAGCAAGTGGAGAATTCTTAAACAAAACCTTTCCAGCCAAGTCTGCTACCTAGTTAACTAGATTTGTTAGATGTAGAGAGAGAGAGAGAGAGAGAGAGAGATTTTAATTCTTCTCGATCAATAACTTGCATCTTTCCCAGACTAAAAAAAAAAAAATTTGCTTAATTGGTTCACATTCAATGAACTCTGACAGAAGAAGTTCAGTGATCATATGATATGTGGTCTCAATGGTTTTTCACAACTGAATTCTGACAGAAGTTCAACCCTAAATGATGACAAGGAAATATTATGACCTTTTTTTCCCCAGATATATACAGAAATCACATCAAATGCTATTCTCACCTCATTCCGGTCCTTCTGCAGCTGCTCCATTATGGCAAATACTCGCTCGATGCCAAGACTGACCCCAACAGCTGGAACTGGTTTTGAACCAAACATTCCTATAAGATTGTCATAACGCCCACCAGCAGCTATTGAACCAACCTGATCACATCAGTAGTTTAGTAACCACTTGGCAACGATAAATTACATGAGAAACAACTTGCATTATGGACTAGAAGGAAAGAATCTAGAGGTACCCAAAAACAAAAGGTAGTAGTAGACAATATTATAACTAGTCAAGAAGTGGCGAAGATGAGAGAGCCTGCCTCTGACTAATGAACTACTTTTAGATAATCATCAAGAGATATGCAATACTCTGAATAGGCATGGGTTGAATCCAATCACTATTTATAATGTCCGGGTTTATCTTAATAGCAAATTTAGCATACCGAAATGTCAAAGCATTCTACAGCCTCAATATAGCATCAAATATTAAATGAAAAATGAAATTACACCTTGCCTCAAAACTAAAAAGAAAAAAGGAGGACAAATTTGGACTCAACAACTCTCAATTTATCACTACTTAGTTTAGAGTTCTGATCCCACTATTAATCATTGCTGGGATTTTCAGATTTTGCGAGACATTCTGAAAGCACTGCTCTTTTCCAAATTACGTTAGCTCCTAGCAGCAGATAAAAGGAATTAAATCCAACTAAAGCTCATCCCAACTCCAAAAATTAAGCTCAAGTTCAACTCATCATGACTATGAACCCTTGTCAAAGGTTGAAAGAAATGTACCCTTTAGACAACCCAGATTGCCTAAACTTATTACAGGAATCATTACCAATTGTACCCACCAGACACCCTTTATTTATAGATGATCAGAAACTAATTTGACACAAGTGGGTCATCACAGATTGGTATCTTCATATTTAAATTGGATTACACCGTCACTTGGAAATCAACATTGACTACACAACCTTACATGCATTTCATTCTCTTTTTTCCCACTTAATGAAGAAGATGGAGGAGTTGAATATTTAAGCAAACCTAGCATCATTAAGGGTGTCAAAAATTCTCCCAAATTTTTCACAATTAGAAATATCCTGCAAACAACCTCACATGATTTTTAGTGGATCGTGAAAAAAAATAAGATATAACATATGATTATTCCTTGTAAAGGTTTGGATTGTTCAAAAGCAAATTCTAGTCTTGACAGCTAGATCTCGTTTCTAAACTACAAAGGCCAATAAAACATAGGATTTTACCCATATTTGGATCTTGTAATCTTCAAATGTTTTTAATTGAAACCCTCTACTCTTTTTTGGCTTGATTGAGCCTCTCTACTTTTTTTGGTTTGATTAAACCCTCTACTCTTCAAGATTTCTTGCTTCAGAACCTCCATTATATCGCCACGAATCAGTGATTGACACGCCACCTCTACTCTTTAAGATTTCTTACTTTACAATGTCACATGTCAATCACTAATTGCTGGCATTATAAAAAAGGGTGTCACGTGCCGATCACTCATTGGTTGGATTATAAAAGAGGGTCTGAAACAAGAAATCTCTAAAAGTAAAAGTCTCAATCAAGCTGAAAAAAAGCGAAGAGTCTCAATCAAAAAAAAAAAAAATTCAAAGAATACAGTCTAAATGTGAAAAAACTATAGAACATAGAAATCGTATAAATAGGATCATTTGCCAACACTTTTTACTCACCAGCCATCAAGTGTAAAAGTGCACTAGTCAAAGTACTCCAATACTTTTACTTGCAACTCTATTTGGATACTTCGAATCTCATTCCCTATGTCCAAGTTCGAAAGCCAACCAAAACGACAGATTTTTTTAGAGCTCAGCGCCCTTTATTTCATGGACAATACAAAACTATCTTTAAATCTTGCCATTCGGTTTATCATGGATCTCCTCTAAATTCTGTCCATTAGGAATTTGCACCCATCCTTAACAATTTGGTTTGTCAAGCTTAAAGTTTTGGATTGAAAAGCCCAAAATATCCTCTAAGATTAAAATGATTTGCTTGTTGTCAGTAGGGATTTTCTGTATACATTGAAATTTTAAGGGTTTAAACTATAGGTGTAAAGTTGTTTGTCTAAAGCTTAAATTATTAGGAGTTAAAGTTTATAGGTCAAGGGTTTAAGGGAGATTCCAAATGTACTAAGGAGATAAAAAGCTGATACCAGAAAATAACATCCACTTAATTTCCATCACCGCTGCACTGCTCATTTTTTAATATTGCTAATATTAGATGACAAAATTATTGCTCTAATACCCAGCCTTTATCATCAATCCAATCACTGTTTGCGACCAGGGCTTCAATTTTATCATCAATCCAATTACCGTTCACGTTTTTTCTTTTTCTTATCAATGAAAAATGGGGGAGAGAGAAAAAATAGGCGGGGTCTGCCAGTTTCCCCTTCCTTACCATGGCAAGTCTTCAGATGTACTAGCACTAGCAAGTGCATCAAAGAGGCAGCCCTCGATTGTCCCACAAGGCCACAATTACAAGCAAACATATTAATTGAATGAAAAATAAAAGATAAAAGGAGATGCAGCCACCTCCTCTCATTTCCCCCTCAAAAAGGAAAAGAAAATCTTTTTTCGTTCTGAGGTGTGAAGTGGAAGAGAGGGGATTCATCTTATATAGATAATTATTTCCATTTTTAATTTTAGTATTATATAACAAAATTATTGCTCTACTACCCAGTTTCTATATAATAACATTATCTTCCAGATAAACAAACACATAAAAAGGTACTCTCATAATTTCATAATTTTTAACCAAACTCCTAAATGGCTAGACCAAAGAACATAACAGACCAGTAGTGGTAAGACAAACAATTATATGACTGGGTTAATTGAGCTTGACAAGAACATGTGCTTTAGAGATTTGAACAACGAGAAATGTGATGATAGGTTTAATGCAGTAAGTGCATGAAAAGTGAACTTGCTTGAAAAGGCCTTCACAAGATATATTCTAATTTCCCAAGAACTTCAACGTCAAATATCACATGGCACTAGAAAGAAACAGCAAATCAAACTTGGAGCTTTGCATAAAATTTTCAGCAATTCTAGTGGCAAATGTGTACCCTGGAAAGATAATCACTGACTATGAAGGCACAACATTGACTTTGTATTTTATGAGATTAAATCTAACGACTAATAGAACTTGGACGACAATAACTTGACAAACGAATCCTTGCTACTTTTAACTGACTCAGTAATCATCAATAAACCAAGCTAATTTGATCACTATCTTCAAGTCTCTGTCTGAAGTTTATTTTGATTAAAGCTTCTCACTTTTGAGAAATTTTTTCAAATTTTTAAAATGCAAGTCATCGTTGAAGTTATGCTGGTTTCATTGATGGTATATGCTTAAAACAAGTAACAACAAATCATATTCTAATCACTTCTTAATTATGATTCAGGTTCTCAATGAGTTTCAAATAATTATAATCCCATCCTAACTCTCTTCAAAGGAATAACATGTACTAAGCAACTCCTCAAGCATTAAAAAGTTAAACCAAGAGAGTTTAAACAACAAAAAACAACTTTACATCCAATATGAGATGATAAATTCAAGCAAAGGTGCATAGAAATGAATCTTTACCTGCGTAGACCCTTTAAAAACAGCTTCAAATATGACCCCAGTATAATAATCAAGCCCTCTGGCAAGGCTCAAATCAAAAACCACTTTGTTAATGCAGTTTGACCGTTCCAGAGCATCAAATAAAATCTCCAGGTCATCCAGTGCACGACTGGCAGAAGCATTTTCTAAAAACTCACTGCCCTCCCGTTTAAGCTTTGATAATAATTCCTTTGGAGAACCCCTTTCCTTCACAAAAGTACCAATTCTGTCTGCTGTCTCAACAGCTAACCCCTTCTCTTCCACCTAGAACACAGTTCAAAGGACAGGTCATGAAACAAACCAAAATACTCACTTGAGGTTCGTGTCTAAACATATAATTGGTACTACATTTCATACAAAGAGAAACAATAGATATAACTTTAATCATGTGTTGCTTAGAAGAAACATAAAATAGATGCAAAATAATGATACAGAGAGGAAATTACTTATCCAGTAAATAAAAAGGAAATATACGTTCGAGAAAACAGAAAGGTGTAATAGGCATGGACATATATTAAAAATAAAAGACAAACTAAAACACTTAAACAACACAAGTGCGAACATACCATCTATAACAGTAACAGCATAAGTAAATGAAAAAATAACAAATGTAAACAAGTAATTTTCAAAAATAAAATCACATCACCCATAAGAGTCTTAGCAGCATAACTTATCTATTTTATACGGCATAATTCATAAAAATTCAAAGACCATTATACCCTTGAATTTCGAGACATTTCTTTACAAAATATACAAAAGTTAAAAATGACCACAAATTCAACAAGGACCTTTCAAATGAGCTCAAAAATTTATGAAAACAGAGGAAAGTCAATCAATAATTAAAATCAACTAAAAGTAGATAATCTCAACACTGAAAATGTGCTTCATCAATTTATTAAAACAGCTGAAAGAACCAACGTATGATTGCCAATCTGGCATGTTTCAATCATAAATAAACAGTAAGAATAAATTAGTGAAAAGATGTCCCCATACTGACTCTGAATAGCATATAAAGTCAACCAGCTACATATAAATAGGACAAGGTACATAATCAAGCTTGTCATATAACCTTACCATTTCTCTCTTAACCTGCTCAAATGATTGCTTGTCTAGTTTGTCAATACTTGAGCAAATGGTTCGGAATTTTTCAGGTGGCACTCCACATATTTCCAACATACCATCCAACAACTTCCGATGGTTCAATTTAACCTGATGAGAAACAAATAAACACCTAGTCAACAAGCACATTGATAGACAACTGGTGGTTTACTTAAATTGTGGGGTACTCAAGCAAGACAAGCCAAAGCAACCAATGTGACAATTAAGGAAGCAACCTAAAAAGGAGTTCCTTAGGGACTTGCCAATGCCTTTCACATTCTAGACCCCCTTAATGATCTATCAACCTGTAGATAGACAACAGGCAGTACACTTAAATTGGGATCCAGAGTTATGAATCAAGCAACCAAGCCACGTATTGGCTGTTTTCAGATGACTTGCCTCCACATAAATAAGAGAGAGAAATTCTCCATTAGATAGATAGAGATCCAACTTTTAGGGCATTGAATGCACATCACCCCACTCAACAATGACTTATTTGCGGTGTCAAAGCCATCAACTTCAACATCGACTAATGCTGGTACAACTAACGTTCCGTTTATTAGAATAGTACTCATAAGTAACTAAGATATAGTTGCGATAAATTTGATCTATAACTCTTAACATTTTTGTCAATGTATCAACAATGTAAATGAAGTACATGTTTTGAAACGTCAGCATGTTATTTAACAGCCAATAGAAGAAGACATATATTGGTTCAATTATTATACAAAATTGGATGAAGACATATATGATCAAAAGGTTAACATCAACATGTGAGAGGATGAAACCATCACAGGCTAAATAAAATTCAACATCAGAAAATTTGACTAATATTATAAAAGAAAGGATAGATCAGCCAGCAGCAGTTACCTCATAATCTCCAATGTCTAGCTCATCAAGCAATTCTGTCAAAATCTTAACAATCTCGAAGTCTGGTCCCATTTCTTCATATTGTCCAGCAATATCGAAGTCACATTGATAAAATTCTCGATATCTTCCCTTAGATGGGTTATCTCTTCTGTACACCTTAGCTATTTGATACCTTTTGAATGAAGTTGTACCATTCATAGCCACATATCTAGCAAATGGAACAGTCAAGTCATACCGCAGAGAACAAAGCTCTCCACCCTGCAATAGGTTGAAAAATCAATACAAACTTGCAATAACTATGAATAATTCAATTGCTTTTTCATACACTTGATCAAATTAAGTAAAAACTAGTCCATCAAAAACCCAAAAGCAGTCAATAGGTAAAAACGAAGTACAGAAATGAGATAATTATATAATTATGCAAATCCAATCAGAAATGAACCATTCCCCACTATTTGCACTTGAAGAAACACATAAAAGAATTCCAAAACAGGCAGTTGGTATCCCAAGAAAGGGGCCAAAACTATGGTTTCAATATTTCAGAATAATAATTTTCAACTTCAAAAAACTATGCAAGACAAGATCCGTGCATTAAAAAAGAAGAGAAGAAAAAAGCAAAATCAATTTGGAGATACTTCAACTGGGTCAAGTGTTTATTTTAATCACTTAGAGCACCAGCATACAGAAACAAAGCTAAATACAGATTCCAGCCTCAAAAGCAGTGAGCCTCACTTATACCTCACATGAACTGCAAAAGTTATTAAATTTATTAGTCTGAAATTACACACCACCTCCACCTTTTTAATTTTCCTGCTTTCACAACTACATTAAAGGCTTGGATATACAAGCTCATTCAGAGAGGCGAACACACAAACATAAGCAATGGTTATAAAAATTATAGCAAAACCACAACTTCAATTGTATCCACTAATAAATATTACCTGGTCAGCAAGATCATAAATCAATTTTGAATCCTCCCCGTATTTTCCCATGAGAGTCTCTCTCAATTCAAACACAGGAGTGTCAAGAGCAGTGGCACCATGCCTCTTGAAAACATCTGTTATGATTGAAAAAGCCCTTTCTCTTATTACCATTTGTTCATTTGCAAAATCACGAGTACCCTGATAAATAAAATGATATGCACAAAGTAAGACTTCTAAACAAAATAAGAATACTAACTCTATTCAAAGCAAAATAGAAGCATGATAACAGTGAGATAACAGTGAGATAAAAGATACAAATTATCATAAATAAACAGAAACATTCAGAAGTTAATTGAAGTGAAAAAAGGGAACAATTATGTCCAGAAAATAATTTACCAAACACAATAATTTTGATCAAAATGGAAGATAAAATTGCATGAATATAATCTTTCTTCTCCTTCCCACTTTTCTTGTCAACTTCTAAACATACAATCACGAATACATCCATGCCCCTATTCTTAAACCGTAAATAATGCAAATATAATCTTTTCAGAATTAAGTACAATAAAAGATCCAAAAGAAGCAAAAGCAACAACCATAGAGAATATCATGAACTCAAGTATGTGACAATACTATACCTATATTTAGTGGCATGCCCTATCAGTGTTTCAGATATTGGAAAAAGGTACTGAAACAGCTTGTTAGCATCTATTCATATTTTGAAATTTCACTAAAAAGGAAAAATGGATTCTCAACTATTTCTACTTTGCCTAACCTGAAAGAATAAATTTGTTTTAAAGGAACAAGAGTGCATCAATCAAAAAAGTTCTCATGGCACATTTCTGCTCCAGTTCTCTGCATCCATTATTTCCTCCCACATTTGCATTTATCACAACTATCAAAACATGTAAGCATCCTTCAACCTAAATTCCCAAATTTCACCAAAATACATATAGTATTATAATCACCACATGACTGATATTATGACAGCTAATACTGCCTTGGCTGTCCCATAACTGTTCAATTTGTTTGAAAAAGTTGTTCTCGCTTCTTAAGTTGTTCAAATCCTCATTAATGTTAACTTGCATCCATATTCAACTATTCACCTCAGTTTAAAAAAAATGGTACTTTCAGTTATCAATAATAGAAAATGAAGAACCTAGCAAAAATGCAACAAAGAAAGAATTGGATAAAACTTCAACAGAATCAAACTGTGAAATGAAATTTGTTACCTTTGGAAGCTTGGGAAGTCTTCTACTTTCATTTCTTTCCACGATCTCCTTCACTTTCTGCACGAATTCATCAAACTCTGGTTGCTTTGGATCAAAAGAAGACAGAAGATTCTCAACCCATTTCTCCAATACCTCCAAACTATCACTAGACCCCCCTGCAACAATCTGCAACCTATCCTTAATCGACTGTACAATAACACTAGTCCCTTTTCCTAAAACTGTCTTCTTTTTCTTCTTCTTCCCACTTTTCTTGTCAACTTTTGCGTCCCCTACATTCACTTGACCACCAATTCCACCCATCAACTCCACACCCTCAAGAGCAAGAAACGCAGTTATCTCCTCCCACCCAACAATACTCCATACAATCCCCAACAAACCATACACTCCATACACAAATTTTCCATAATCCTCCACGAGTTGTGAATCACTAACTGCCTTGTATCCATTCCTCAAACAATCCTCACTAGGGCATTTGTTCTCAAATAAACCCACCAAGCCATCCCTCAAACTCTCATTCTCCACCACATCCAAATTCATTTTTGCCCGACACAAACTACTCTTCCCTAAATTCCACAATGCAGAGGCCAACCCCAACACTGTGGTCCCCCCTGCCTCCCCAGACCCACCTCTCGATCCTTTCACCCCTGAATTCAACTCCACACGAGTCAATGTATGCAATGCTTTCACCATCTCCCTCAACTTCCCATTAATTTTCGTCATTTTCAAAACCGCCTCACTCTCTCCTCTCTTATTCGAATCATACCCAGCAAGCAAAACCTTCATATCACTCGCAACTGCAGCTGCCTCCTTATCAACAAACCCATCCCCACTATCCACACCATCAAACGACCTGGCATCTTCTTTCACCGCCTCACACGACAAAGCAGCCACAGCATCAATAACAACACCTAACCCCATCCCTTCATGATCCAAAATCGCACAAACCCCATAGAATTCCGCATCGGATCCCTCAATCACCACTCTCTCCTCTTCAGTCACCTCAACATTCAACCCTAGGGGTTCTTCACTTCCAATCTTATTCGAATTTAGGGTTTCGGCAATCAAATTAGGGAGAAATTTACGGACATTGGAGGAATTCGTGTAGTGAAGGAGTTTATTGAGGAGGACAGTGAGATAAGCGCGAGTTTCAATTAGGTTTGGGGCTTTATTGGGGATTAAACAGATTGGGGTGAGTGGTTTTTGAGGGTTTCGGTTTCGATCGGTGAGTCTGTCGAGTACAGATGAGTCAATGCGTACCTGAGCGTGGCCGGTGGCGATCGCGTAGACAGACGTGGAGGTTAAAGCTGAGCCTTTACCTCCTAAACTGATTATTTTTAGTTCTTCTCTCTCTGCTGCCATTGCTGGACTGTTTGTGCGTATGACAGTGAGGGTGGTGGCGTTAGGGTTTTGTGGTTCTTACTGTAGCATGTTGAATAGCAGACTGAAATTTTATTCTTTTCTTACCCAGACTGAACTGAAAGCTAACGTTACTTTTCTTTTTGAACCAATCTGATAATACGGAATTAATTACAGGGCAATTACCAAAATCCCTTGGAGAAAGCTTTTCTATCAAAAAAAAGAAACCATCAAAATATTTTTTATATCGATAAAAATTCAAAACAAAATTTTCACATTAAAAAACTCGAAATCTAACCCTCACTTATTTCTGTTAATAAATTTGATTTATTTTATATAAAAAGTTTTATTTTAGATTTTTACAGGTTTCAAAGATTTTGATAAAAAAAATATTTTAAAAGGCTTTACGTTGAATGATATATTTGTAAATCACATTTATATTTATAATATTTAATTATGTTGCATATATATAATATGCAATGTTTCTTTTTCTTACAAACTGTAGCCATTGTTTTAATAATTATTTTGAACAATTACCTTTTCTTTTCTAATTGTCTTTATAGTTTTTATAATACGATCGGTTTAAGGGGAAAAAATTTTTGTATCATACATTTATATATAATATATGTTATAAAAATGTAATTATATGCATGATTTAAATATTATAAATATAATACTATAGCTATATAATCATATAAGATATTTTTTATGTAATTAAATATTTATATAAAGAAACTCAAATGGATCGACAATGTTGAGCTGTAGTTAGATATGTGGATTTTTTTTTAATGTATATTGAAGTATTTAGATATAGATATATTTTGATATATTTTTTAGATAATTCTACAGTTAGGTTTTGGTAATTATCTCTTGATTATAACTTAGTACGTGCACTAATACAATAAATATTGTTTTCTTCCCAAATAATATCTATTATGGCTATAATTTTTTTTTTTTCCTTCTCTTGTTGCATTTTCTTGTTTGTCTTTTTTTCCCCCCTCTCCTTTATAAAAGTCCTTCCATTTCTACTACTAACTTTCTCACCATATACCACGTAACTTCTTGTTTGTGTGAAGTAATAGGCTTCCTCGACACACCATTTTGTGTCTTTCATAGTCGCCAATATCTTCTGTAGTCCTATACTAGATTGTAATTCACACTACATTGCAGGCCAAATGCTGTTAGAGAGGCAAAGGCTATTGGTTTTAACAAATTATGTCGAAGACCATCAACTATTAAAAAGTTACGTTTTAAGTGACATCATCTCTAATGTTGCAGATAGTTTGAAACTTGTGTTATATTATGGTTGGAGCATAGTGTTTTTGTTCTTTTAATAATTAGTTTTTTTTATCTATTGTAACAAATTGCTTTGATTACATAGTTGACAGTTTTTTAAATAATGGCTAATGATTGGTACTCTAACCAAACATATCTACGAGGCGAAAGATGTTTTTTGATAAGGATTTTTTTTAAAAAAAAAAGTTGTGCAAATTGATGCAAAAATAGCCAAATAAATCAATTATTTAGAGCAGGTGGATTAGCTTCTTATGGCAGGTCATCACCAATGTCGAAAACATTAGATGCAATGAAGTGATAGTCAAATATCTTATTGTACAACGAATTGCGTCAGACTCAAAAAAATCTTGTTTTTTTCCAATTGCATCAAGAAAAATGCCCAATATAATGTGTTTTTTAATGCAATGCAATGCAATTATAAAACTAAGAGTGGCATGACAGGTGAAGAATGCCTTAGCAACATGACCAAAGATCATGAGCGTAGCTTCAACAATGTTGTCATCAATGATGCATTTCACATGATACCTATATTTGTAAAAGGAAATTAATTTGTGTGATTAGCCAAAATAAAATGCTTTAAGATTTTAGGTAAAAAAAAAATTAAGTAAAAAATGAAGCTGATGTTGCTCAAAACCTGTGTATGGGTGATGGGCAGCTGGAGCAAATGTTGAATGGTTGTCCTATTTTTTCTTCTCAAGAGCTCGGCATCCATTCTTTCACCACAGTACTATATAACTCGGATCGAGATAGAGGGGTGGAGGGAGGAAAAAAGTGCATGCTATTTGTGAGGGCTGGAGAGAAATGGCTTTTGTTGTTTGAAGATTATTTTGCTGTGGATGGAGGAAATACAATACGAATCAAGATGTTGAGAGTAAGTGGAGTGAATATTTATACTTGCGCAAACATCGTTATGTCTAAAAGTATGCATGGCATGTCTTCAGCATTATCACATCGTATCCTATAAGTCCTGTGCAAAATTTTGTTTGTAGGAAACATTTTCACCATTGGCTATATGAATGATGCTCAAAATTTGGCCATGGCCAAAATTTTACAACTAGATAATTGAGGCAGAAAAAACAAAAACAACTTATGAGTTTATAGTGTTTAATAATGTATCGGCAATAATATAGGGAGCAACATGTCAGCTCAACAGCAATACACTGCCAAGTATATTTAAATAGTGCAAAAAGCAATCTAAGCAGCAAGTTGTACCACCACACTTCATTTTTATTGAAATTTTTTTGTTTCTTTTTTTTTTTTTTTGGCTTTGTTATTCCACATTTCATTTAATATTGTATAAAATATTAATATGGAATAATAAAGAGATTCATACATTTGGTTTCAAAATGACCAAGGAGTGTTACCAGGGTTTGCAAAGCTTAAGAAAAAAAGTCATGATGCAGCTTGTCTATGCCATCTTTATGTTAAATGGTAGATTTCATAGCAATTGTATAGCATTCACAATGTAAATTGAATAGAAATTATAGAATTTTGATTATTGGGATTTATTTTTTTATATAAAGATCTGACCATTTTATGGCAAAACATAGTTTGATTTTCAATTTAAACAAATCGATACATAAACAGTTGGATAAATAAGTAATGCAGACTAGCAGATTAGTATTGCTTGTAGAGTTATCATTAACATCAAAGAAATGAGTTACTGTGAAATAGTGGTTAATTTTTATTTTTTTTGAAATACAAAAAAAAAATATATATTGAGTGTTCGTAGAAGACAATTGTGGGATGGGGTCATACGACAACATCCTATGGTTCTTGTAACAGTAGGCAAGCATATGTTTTCATGCAGTCTCATAGTTTTGTGGGCATTACATACAATCATTCATAAGTTAAGTCAATACAAAGTGTTATGGTTCTGATTGTGTAGAAAAAGTACTGTGAAAAATTAGAAAATGGAACAGAAAATAAAGAAATAGAAGTGAGGGATACAATTATCCTTATATTCTTTTTAGCTCTTTTAAAAACATAAGGTTTGATTTTTCTCGAAAATTATAAAGAAGTTGTAAAACCTGCTTATGTGTATTGCTCGGTTGCTATATGTAATCCTATGACAAAACTAATACAATTTATGATTATTTCAATATGCCTTTTTTCCTAAAATTTATAATTAATTTATTGTTCTTCATCTATACTTGCTTGCTGAAGAATAGAGACAACCAAAAGGCAAAATAATAAAGCATACATAGATAAGTGTGTGATTGGTCGTTCACACTTTATATATATATATATATATATATATATATTGGCATGCAAAAGGCAATGATAACTTAGCAAAGATAGCTAGGTTTGCATAAGAGGCAAATCCTCATGGTTTGTGTCATCGGCATCATCATAAAAGATGTCGTTACCCGACGTCAGACGGGACTCTCAAAAATTAAATTTCTAAACGTGATTAATATTTACAAGTTTATTTACAGAGTTTGGAGTCGCCACCTAGTATTTAAGAAACTAGGAACCTAAAATGGACACCGGTTCGGAGATTCTATAGTAAGGAGTTGGTTACGCTTTTGGAAAGATATTGATCACCCAAAGCGCCCTTTTCAAAAAAAGGTACCATGTCCGTTTTAGCTCTAAATTTATCTCCTAAAATATTTTATTTACGTCAAATTATTTTTTGAATTTTAATCTCTCATTTTTTGTTTAGACAAATTGAATTTTTTAGTTTTGAGCGTGGCATCATATTGAAACGATCGTCGGTCCCTTTCATTGGGTGACACGTCGGTTCAAACATCGGATCCATTTAAAGCCTTAACACAACCGGCGTGTCGGAGGACGTCTTAATTAAAAAGGTGATTTTTGATGACGTCAATCCCTCTCACGTAGGAGACTTTGTCGAAAATCTTGAATATTCTTTTTGGGTGATGTCGGTCCCTATTAGATAGGAGACTTCATCGAATTTATTTATTTATTATATATTTTATTTTGTGGTGTCGGTCCCTATCAAGTAGGAGGCTTCGCCAAAATTTGAGACTTTATTATTTTTTATTATTTTATTAATCGAATAAAAAAATTAAAAAGAAGAAAAGAAGAAAGAAAGAAAAAATAAAACCTCAATTAATGCGAGGAAGAGGTGACGAAGAAAAAAAAATTGGCTAAAAGAGAAAAAAAAGAAAAAAGGAAAAAAGAACAATTAAAATATTAAAGGAAATGATTTTGAAAAAAAACAAACCCGTAGCCCATGATAATTTTCTTTCCTACCCAATTCATTTCCCTTTTTTTTTTTTAATACCAAATGGACCCATTCGACTTTATCATGCCTTTATTCATTTTTTCTTACTTTCATTCTTTCTTCCGTAAAACTGGACTAGCTCCAGCTTTTCTTGTTATTTATTTTTTTTTCTTGGAGGAAAGGGCGGGGAGGACTGGACTGGAGTCCAACCTCCTTCTTCCTTGTTTTATATATATATAGGAGAGGGGAAAGGGAATTTGGCGTCTTTGCATTTTTTTTATAAAAAAGCCTAAGGTTAGTCCGGACTAAAATAAATCCAGACTTCTTGTCTAAAGCCTAACCCACGTTTTTTATTTAAAAACTTCTCAACAAGACCAAGCCCACGAGACCACAATTTGGCACCCGTTTCCCTAATTCCTTTTTTCCTATTCTTCTTTCTTCTCCCTTTTCCCGTTCTCCTTTGATATCAAAAACGACCACTTTCTCATTTTTATTTTTCGAATGAATTTTATCCCGC